TCTTGCAGTAGTGCTGTCACGGAAGAAAGCTCCACTTTGAACAGTCTACATTCAACTTTGTTTTCTGTGAAATGCTTTCACATTTTTTGAAATCTCCATTTCCATTCTCTTTTGTCCTTCTGTTTATGGTACGTTCTTCTTTGTTAGTACTGAGTGCAGTCTTGGCACACGACATAGGCGATACTCCCCCCATTGCTTCCTGTAGTGAATTGTGGTACCAAAAACACATTTACGTAGTATTAGTATATGACGGATTGAAAATAAAATTCTTCGTTGACAAATTTTATAGACGACATTGATGCTGACGATTATGTTGACAAATCGTTGCAGCCCCAGTCACAAGCTCCATGTAGTGACTGAAACAATGAGGTTGTGAATACAAGCAGTAGAAATTAGTTTCCTTCCAAGGGTGGCTGGGCTCTTCTTTAGAGATGCTGTTTGTAGCCTGGCCTTTTGAAAGGGACTCAGAGTGTAGCTGCTGCTTCTCCACATCGAAAGGAGCCGGTTGAGGTCATTCAGGCATTTGACTAGTATGCCTCCTGGACACCTCCCAGGTGCTCTCAGCTGGTTTGGGAACAATTCAGTGTCTCCCAAGATGAGCTGGAGGAGGAGGCTGGGGTGAGGGAAGTCTGGAATCTATGATTTGAACCTGTGTCAGTCTTGTAACTGTAAAAGATATTCAATAGAACCTTAATGGAGATTTTTCCCCCCATTCATGTCATGGTAATTATTTAGTTATAGATAATAACCAATGTATTTGTGCAGAATGTTGGTTCCATGTGAAATACACTAGTGGTACAGGAGATTCTTTAAGTTTTGCCACTAGGAAGTCAAACTTTCCACTTAAAGATACCTCATAACTGAAAAACTCTTAAGATGACAGAGCAGTTTATAGTTGGTGTCTATTTTCTGTGCTAATAATTGAAAATTCAGCATCACAATAACAATTACTTGGTTTTATTGAGCTGAGAATTTTTTTTATAACTTTATCAATTTTTATTTTAAGGGACGGGCATGATCTTCCAGAGACAAAGGAGCTGGATGGAGATGTCATATTTAAGGTCTGCTGAAAAAAATCTATATTCCCTTAATAACAGCTTTTGAAAAAAAAGTATTTTTAAGATCACGCCTGTCATAGATATGCTGGGATATGCTTTTGTGTAAAAAAAACAACAATAATAATAATCATAATAATAATATATATAACAAAAAAGTGGATTAAAAAAAAAGTTTTTCTATTGCAGCTGGTGGAAACCCATGGCATGGAGATTTTTATGAGTGAAATTGGAAGGTATAAAAAGATGCTCTTTCCACACCTGTCACGCTATTCTACTGAAAGGGATGAAGACAATCTGTCTACTGAAAATACAAAGCAAGACACGAGTGCCAGTGAAGGGGTTTTGAGGATTACATTACATGTCTTAAATGAAATTGGGCAAAAGGAGCTTGCTAACAAACTGGAGAAACGTAAGGACAAAACGTGCAAATATTACAGAATTAGTTTTATAGTTTGTTTTTGTGATCTCTTATTGAAAAAATATATCTTTTATGTTTTTTATTAGGTTTTTTGGTTTTTTTTTTTTTCTCTTTACAACCAGATATTTATGGTGAGCTTGATGTCTGCCAGCGCAAACTCAGACAAAAACTGAAAAGGTTTGAATACATTTATGAGGGAACAGTACGGCATATGGACCAGACTCTTCTCAACAAGGTGTACACTGAGCTCTACATCACAGAAGGACTCAGTGAAACTGTTAACAGTGAACATGAGGTCAGGCAGATTGAGGCTGCATCAAGGAGATCAATGACAAAAGATAAGCAAATCAAATGTGAAGACATATTTAATTCTCTTTGTGGATCCCATAGATTCATCAGAACTGTGCTCACTACAGGCATTGCTGGTATTGGGAAAACTATCTCTGTGCAGAAGTTTAATCTTGAATGGGCAGAAGGAAGAGTTAACCAGGATATTCAGCTCCTTATTAATTTACCATTTCGGGAGCTGAATCTGATGAAGGAGAGAAGATACACTCTAACAGAACTTCTTCACAATTTTCTCACAGAGGCAAAAGAGTCAGGGATTTCAGATTTTAGCAAATATAAGCTTGTGCTGATATTTGATGGGCTGGATGAGTGCCGGCTTCCTCTTGACTTCAGCAACAATGAGCCTTGTTCTTGTGTCTCAGAGCAAGTTCCAGTAGATGTGCTTCTCACAAATCTGTTCAAGGGGAACCTGCTGCCCTCTGCGCACATCTGGATTACCACCAGACCCGCAGCTGCACGTCGCGTTCCAGTTAACTGTGTTGATCGCGTGACAGAGATACGAGGGTTTAATGATCCACAAAAGGAAGAATACTTCAGGAAAAAAATCTCTGATCAAAACATGGCCAGCAGAGTCATTTCACATGTTCAGTCAACCAGGAGCCTTCATATCATGTGCCATATTCCAGTCTTCAGCTGGATATCTGCCACTGTCCTGCAGAAGATTTTAGAAGAAAAAAGCCACGAGAGGAGAGGAGAAATGCCCAACACACTGACAAAAATGTACACACATTTTCTTGTGCACAACTCATTGATCAAATGTCAGAAGTACACACTCAGGGAAGAGGTTTGTGAGACCCAATCACAGGTCAAAATGAATGAAGAGATTATCTTGAAGCTTGGAAAACTAGCCTTTGAGCAGCTACTGAAGGGAAACATAATCTTCTATGAGAATGAAATCAGCGAGTACGACATAAATGTCAGCGACACTGCAGTATATTCAGGAGTATTCACAGAGATCTCAAAGAATGATTTTGGAATTCATCTAAAGAGATCATATTGCTTTGTGCACCTCAGCATTCAGGAGTATTTTGCTGCAGTGTATGTTTTCCACACCTTCATTTGCTCTAACCTAAACTTGTTGGAACCAGAAGGATCCCTCACTGTCCGAGAGGCTTCTACTGAAGTAACTGGCCTTCTCCAAAGTGCAGTGGATAAGGCCTTGCAAAGTGAGAATGGTCAGCTTGATCTTTTTCTCCGCTTCCTTCTTGGCCTCTCACAGGAATCAGATCAGTTGAAGAGTATTCTTGCCACCATGAGGAGTACTTTACCAAGTAATGAGGAAGTTATTGAGTACATCAAGGAGAAAATCAGTCAAACTCTTTCCCCAGAAAGATGCATCAATCTCTTCCACTGCCTCAGTGAGCTTAATGACCAGTCTCTTGTAGAGGAGATCCAGAAGTGTCTGAGTTCTGGTAGTTTGTCAGAGATCACACTTTCACCTTCACTTTGGTCTGCTCTGGTTTTTGTGTTGCTGACATCCAAGGATGAGTTGAATGAGTTTGATCTGAGAAAATATTCCAGATCTGAGGAGGGTCTCCAGCGGCTGTTACCGGTGATTAAGGAATCCAAAATAGCTTTGTGAGTAAATTACAACAATACTCTGTAATGTTCATATGACATACAATATTATTTTTAAATGTGACAATTATTATGATGCTAAAAACACAGCTGAAACAAACACACCAGATCAAATTCACTCTCTTCTTCATAGCTAAATAATTAAAAAAATAACACTGTATGTTACTTACTGTAAATTAAACTTAATATTCTTTACTCAGATTGACAATATGTGGAATCACAGACATTGGCCCTGGCTTAATATTTATTTCACTATTTTTTAATACAGTGCTTTAACTTGGCATCATCTACTATTTTATATTGTACAGCAGCCTCTTAACCCTGCAAAATATACTAGCATATGGTTATTTTTTCTGCTTTTTAAGGCTTAAAGAATGCAACCTTACTGAGAAATGCTGTGAGATGCTTTCCAAAGTTCTATTTAGTTCATGTCTAAAAGAGCTGGACTTGAGTGATAATGACCTGCAGGACAAAGGAGTGAAACGTCTCCTTGATGGATTGGGAAATACTGCATGCCAGCTGGAAAAACTTAGGTTTGTGAAAATATCCTGGTGCAGGATATTTATGCCACACAAATAGCTAAAAGAAACTAACTCTATATGCTTTAAATTTAAATTTCAGTTTGGCATTCTGTGGAATCACTGACTCGGGCTGTGGCTCTTTGGCTAAAGCTCGGACCTCCAGCCTCAAACACTTGAAGGAGCTGGACTTGAGTTACAATCATCCTGGGGAGTTGGGAATAAAGCACCTCTCCTCCATAGAGAACGACCCTGATCACCTCACTATCAGGTATAGTTGAGTTAAATTACACTTACAGTTAAATAAGTGTTCTTTTTTTCATGTTCTCTAGATTAGCAGAAAATAACATCTTTGATTTTACCTAGGATAAGTGACAGTGGGGAGTGTTACTTAAAATCAGCTCTGAAGAAATGTGAGACTTTTTGTTATTATTTTTAAACAAACATACCAGTGACATTTCAAGTTTTTATACTGGATGGGGGCACAAAAAACAAAACCGAAATCTTTTTTTTCAGATGCACAAGAGCTGACTGTGAACATGAATACAGCACATTCAGAACTATCTTTCTCTGAAGACAAGAAACAAATGAAACGATTGGAAGAAAGTCAGAAATACCCTGACAACCCAGAGAGATTTGAAGACTGGGGACAAGTGCTTTGTAATGAGGGTCTCCGTGATCGGTGCTACTGGGAAATAGAGTGGTCTGGGGAATGGATGGGTATAGGAGTTGCATATAAAGGAATCAGCAGGAAAGGTAAAGGGAACGAACCAGTCCTTGGCTACAATGATCAGTCCTGGAGTCTACGCTACTGCAAAGGCAAATACACCGTCTGGCACAATAAGAATGATGATGCACCCATATCTGTTCCCTATTTCAACTCCAAGAGGGTTGGAGTGTTCTTAGACTGGACAGCTGGCACGCTGTCCTTCTATGCAGTGTCTTCACAGACCATGATTCACCTGCACACTTTCCACACTGAATTCACTGAGCCATTGTATCCAGGCTTCAGACTGGGAGAGCCACGTGCTACATTAATTTTACGCCAGCCAGAATATCTTTAAATGGTGATAGCCCCTGCAGACAACAGTTTTTAGAGTACAGTTTTACAGTATTGACAATTATGTGAACGCTGTAAAACAAATGAAGGGATTTCAGAAGACCTTGTATGTAAGTGATTTCAACAAAAGTTTTGTTTGTCGTTTTTTTTAAATCAAGTTCTAGTTTTGTAGCAAGTGGATATCAAAGCTGTGAAAAGCTGTCTGTCTTTAACCCTGAATTGAATCAGCAGAAGAGGACGGAAGGATGTATTTTTTCCTATAACTAACAATTTCAAGGAAATTGGTAATAAATTACATATTTTAAATCTTAATATCTATTTTCTGTAATGAGTTTTCTTTATGTTAAAGTGTTTGTATTATGTTTTTTATGCTTTTGTGATGAGGGATGGGATATGGATCAATAGGTGACAGTATTGAGAAAATATACTAGAAGCTTGTGAAATCAAACTGTAATAAATAATCATCAGAACGATCCCATTGCAAACCAAAAGTGTGGGCATTGGATTTATTTTCACATTTTAAAAATACAGAGAAACGTAGATGTCGAAAGCAAGAAGGTACTAGGTTCACATCCACCATCTGCCTGGGCTCTTTCTTTGTGGAGTTTGCATGCTATCAGAATGTTTCCATGTCCAGTCCAAAGACATGCAGTTAATTGGTTATCTGAATGGGCATGATTGCAAGTGGATATCAGCGTGGGAAAAACCCCGACACAGAAACTCACTCATATTAACAATGATTAATTGGAAAAATATATTTTGTGCTCAGTCATAAAATGTTTTGTGGCACTGGTTCTTCCCATGGGTCAAATGTAATGTTAACCCTGAACATGCCTGATCCATGGAAGTCCCACTCAGCAACCCACAGGACCAAAGGACCCCAGTGCCTAATGCTACACAGTGATCGGCAGGTGATTTTCATGCTGTGGCTGTTCAATGTATATACTGTACATCTCAAACATTTAAACTACAGTTACGGTGCTTATGGGGAACAAACATATATTTATACATAAGACTTAAGAAACAGCATATCGTATTTTTTTTTCCTTTTTTATTTCACGGGGAAAAATGTCCCGCGCAATGTTTATGGAGATGTGGAGGAGCCGTCAAAGTTAAAAGCACACAAAAAGTATGATTGGCTAAACTGGTTGATGCATATCAAACAGTTGAAATGAAAAAAAAACTTTTTTTTTTATTTTTGTGCAAAGCTAGGTGAACCTTGTGCTATATTGACATAACGATAAAATAATATTAAAATATGGAAACACAAACTCTAGTCTATTTTTTTTAATCGAATTATACTAAAATCTGACAAAAAGAAGGAAAATAAAAAATATATCTCTATTTTCTGTTGCCTACATTGCAGAGGGTGACTTTGCTTCTGAACAGGAAAATGAGTGGGAAAGGCTAAAGTGTGTGTAACCCAAAGGACCAGACAGGACGCAGAAACTCGTGTTGGGCTTTTGTTTATTTGTTCGTAATGTCATTGTTTGCTTTAGCACTTTTCGGTGCTCACTGCTCCAGATCCGCACCGACTCTCTGCTCCAGCAGCTCTCTTCCTCTCCAGCCCGGCCGCTACTGAAAGGGAAGGGATGATTATATGATGCTTGCCATGCTCCGAAAACAAGCCTTCCCAGGCGCCACACCCTGAACACTGTTTGACTCCTCCCTTGCAACCGAGCCACCAACCACACCCCGCCACACACCCCCAGCAGGAAATCAGCCACAGCCATCTGAACCCCCATCCTATGGACCACTATGAACTTAAAAGCCTGGAGGGCCAGATACCACCATATGATCCGACCATTAGCAAACACATGACGAATTAAACTGAATTTAATTTAATTTGACTTTTAAAATCACGCTGAGTGTTCGTCATGTGAGCCATGATGACATGAGGTGATGACTGTGTTTGATATGAAGCTGAATCCAGTGTATGTAGTGAACTTTGTGCTGTATTGATGAGTAGTTTAGTGATCAGAGTCCATGTAGTTTCCAGGATCAGACTGAATGCAGTGCAGTGCTGGAAGCTGCTGCTGACTGTGTGAATGTGTGTCTG